TGGCCTTCTTTTGAGCTCTTTTTCACTTTTTCTTAAGGGCTCAACCCTGTTTGAGCCCCCCATCTTGCACTTGCTTCAATATCTTCCTTAAATGCTATTTTCTTGCATGCTTTGGCAGCCTATTATGCTTCGGTTTTTAGTCTTTTTACAGTACTAAAAATAGTCTAATTTTGGTCCATTCTTCATGTTTTATTAAGGGCCTTTCATGGTTTGGGACCTCCATATGCTACTTCATGTTGTATCCCTCCTTGGTCCCCTTTTCTTGCATGCTTTGGCAGCCCATTATGCTTCCATTTTTGGGCATTTTAAAGAACTAAAAACAAGCTTATTTTGAGCCCCTCTTCAATATTTAAGAAGGGCTCAACACTGTTTGGGACCTCCATGCTATACTTGCCTTTATATCCCCTCTTTGGTCCTTTTTTTTGCATGTCTTGGCAGCCTATCATGCTTCGGTTTTTAGCCTTTTTACAGTACTAAAAATAGTCTTATTTTAGTCCATTATTCATGTTTCATTAAGGGCCTTTTCTCGTTTGATGAATATTTTGTACACTTTGTGTTATAGCCACTTTTGAGCCTCATTTTGGATTGCATTTCTAGCGTGTTTGTATACTGTTTTGGGGTTTTTACAGTTCTGTAAATATGCATATTTTTGGTCCTTATTCAATGTTGTAGAAGGGAATTTTTCAGTTTGGGCTTTGCATATACCACTTGCCTCTTTGGCCACCTTTTGGCCCTTTTTCTTGCATAAGAGTTTAGCCATATCTATGTTTTTTTTTAGGGTTTTTACAGTTCTGAAAAGTGGCTTATTTTTGGCCTCTCTTCAATGTTGTTGAAGGGCCATAACCTATTTGGAGTTAGCAGCTGTGAGTTGCTTCATAACCTCATGTTTAGGGCCATTTTTGCATGCCATTGTTGCCCTATCTTTGCTTGCTGTTCAAATCAGTGTTGTACTAGTAAAATGCTAATTTTGGGGCTGCCTTACTACTGTCTATTCATTGCTTATGCACGTTGGATATCTCCAGAACCCAACCCGAACCAATGGTGGTGACTGTCGAAGACAGAACAGGGGAGATTTCAGAGGAGAATGAGATTGTTGAGTCAGAATCTGAGGAATCTGGGAGTTAGCCCGGAGAGGTGTACAGTCCGAGTGACTACATTTTGTCGGTAGGCCAGGATAGATCAAGTGTGGAATTGCCAAAAAAGGCAGAGCTTTGTGTGATACAGGGGTATAGATTTGATCAGAGATCAGAGGACTTAGCGGCTATGGAAGGGGACTTTGCTGACCTCCAATTTTTGAACGAACAAAGCCCAGGGGACATGGTCGTCAACTGGTCAGGTTTGCATATCATGTTTTCCATGCCATTGCATTGCATATGCCATTGCCTCCGTTTGCGTGCCCGTGTGCACACATTTCGGGGCACTTCATTTTCATTCACCGGCATCCTATGCGAGTGTGGCTGAGGCTCTCTCATGTTGGTATAAGCCCATATCATATTTTCATGTCATTTGCATTGCATCTGTCATTTTCTCGGTTTGCGTGCCCGTGTGCACGCATTTCGAGGCATCTCATTTTTACAGCATAGTGCATACTAGGTTGTATCTTAGATCGCATTCTGTCATTTTCTCAGTTTGCGTGCCCGTGTGCACGCATTTCGAGGCATCTCATTTTCATAGCATTGTGTATGTTAGGATTGTATCTCAGTTGCATTTCATGCATGTCACGCATATTGCATCGTGTTCGGAATAGGAGTTAGCCCGGGCACGGGAAACGAAGTGCATTTCGTACTCCGAGTGACGGAATGTATCTCAATTCCCCAGTCACCGACACGCCGGATTACCCATGATGGAGTTAGGTTCTTGTTGTGTTTATACGTGCATTCATTCTATATTGAGTTGCACATTTCGACTTCTCTGCCATCATGCATCGATATGCGTGATTGGTGGCACGAGGATCGAGGCATGCATATATCTGTGAAAATACATTGCCATGCCCCTTTCCTGCTCTCTGTTGCAGCAAAATGAAGAATCAGCAACTTTTTGGAGTTTGGCGCGCATTTCAAGAAAAACCGCTAAACAGAGGCTAATTGGGGCATCCCGGTGGATTTCCGCACAAGACAACCCGGACATGCATCATCCATCAGAAGCAAGGCAGTCCCTGGCTTGCATGCCAGTTTTATTAAGCTTTCTTAGTTAATTTGTTAATTAATTAGGAATTTGTATATTATTTGGACTGTAATATTTGGACTGTACTATTCTTTTACTGTAATTATTTACCCGGGACTGTTTATTTATTCGGACCCTCTGCGCGAGGGCATAACTGTAATAAGTGTGCGTGTGTGTGTTGTATGTCTTCCAACCCCACGTCTTTCTCCCTTTTATTTATCCGCTTATGATGGTTAGATTAGGGCATACTTCAATTAGCATACAGTATGATAGCATGCTTGCATCATTCATCTGTTTTGCA